GCCATCTAGCTCAGAAGCAAAAAAGCCCACATGGAAGAAGCACACCAGCCTGTGAGGTCACAAGGTGTCAAAGGGATCAGGTAGCAAGCATCAAAGAACAAAGAATCCTATCATTGTGAATAAGGGGGAGTTCCTAGTAGGGATCCAAAGCCCATCTGTAGGCAAACTGGACATCCTCTTACAGAAAGGTCTCGGGGAAGAGACCATCCAGTCAGGGTGCAGTGTAGCAACAATGAAACATACAACTTTCCTCTAATTCTTTAATGCTTCTTCCCCCCCACCACCACCACTATCATGATCCCAATTCTACCTTACAAATCTGGCTAGACCAGAGGATGTACACTGGTACAGATAGTAACTGGAAACAGGGTATCCAGGACAGATGAACCCTTCAGGACCAGTGTTAAAGAGTAGCAATACCGGGAAGATGGAGGGAAGGAGGGGTAGAAAGGGGGAACTGATGACAAGGATCTACATATAACTCCCTCCCTGGGAGGCGGACACAGAAAAGTGGGTGAAGGGAGACATTGGACAGTTTAAGACATGAAAAAATAATAATTTATAAAGTATCAAGGGTTCATGGGGGGGAGGGGAAAAATGAGGAACTGATACCAAGGGCTCAAATAGAAGGAAAATGTTTTGAGAATGATGACAGCAACAAATGTACAAATGTGCTTGACACAACGGATATATGTATGGATTGTGATGAAAGATGCACTTGCCCCCAATAAAATGACTTAAAAAGAGATGTACAAGCCCCCAATAAAATGATTAAAAAAAAAAAAGTCCCTCCTTGCTTATGAGCATACAAGGGAGATTTTAAAAGGTCTGTGAAAAAATTCTGCTTTTCCAGTTTCTTGAAGCCCCTCCATACTGGTGTCATCTATCCTTAAACCTTTGGTCCCATTCTTCAATTTTCAGTTCAGCTTCCTTACTGTGGGTCCTGGCAGTTCCTAAGGCCCATTCCTCTGTGTTATAGCTACTTTTAGGGTAAGTTGGTAAGAGATAGTTTGACATTTACTGTGCTTTTGCTGAAGAAGTGAAAAGTTCAAAGGAATAAAGTGAGGATCTGACTACCTGGGGCTAGTTGAGGACTTTAGGGAAAAGAAGTAAAGGAAACCTATTTCCCTCCCAGATTGAGTAGCCTAGTTCAATAGGATAGAGAAGAGATGGAAGACAAAGACTCAGGACAGAATCCTGGATCATAAACAAAGAATAGTGTTTGGTCAGAGAACGGACACCCCTTAGGAACTGAATGCAGCTGAATGAGCACAGATGAACTGAACCGAGAAAGGATTCCCTGACAAGTTACCTCTGAAAGTACAAGAAACAAAAGAAGACAAGAAGGGAACATTTTGTGGGCTACCCTGATCAGATAAGTCAAGTTCTAGAAATTGATACTAAAATCCCTTTTTTAAGATATTGCCAGCAAAATGCTTTCCCTGTCCACAGAATTTCTTACCGTATATACTGCCAGCAGAGCCAACTGGTTATACGGGCGCCCATTTTTGGGAGCAATGTGCTGGGCCTTCAGGTACCAACTAAAACAGAAAAACAGTAAGAAAATGCTAGCTCTGTAATCATCCCTTTCCTAGTTTATCCCAATGTCCCTTACTACTTAAGCTAGGAAAATGCTAGAGTGTTAGATGTAGCCCTGGAATGGTGGAGTACGAGTACCGGGACCCAGAGCGACACCCAGAAGGGAGGCACCTCAGCTGACCCACTGCTCTGAATTGTACGACTAACACCACACTTGAAGAGAAGGCAAAAACGAGATACAAGTACCTGCGAGCTTTTCCATAGTTTGCGGTGTCGTTGGCCTGCTCCCGATACCTAGCAATATCTCCTTGACAGATCATACATCGCTGAGCACTGATCAAGGCATATTTTACCTTCAAGAAAAATAATCAGTTAGTAGAGTATCCAAGAAACTATAAACAGTTACTCAGAAGATAACAGAGCAGACCTTTAACAATCCCCCCAAAAAAACTCCCTAAGGAGTGAAAACCTGAGTGAGCAACAAGTTGACAGCACTACCTTGTTTCTCTAGGTCTTTCTACCTTTGATGACGTGCAGTTTTTGTTGTTTTGTTTACCAGTCTTCTATCGCCTGTTTTATTTTTTCTATCATTTTATTTTTTAAATAAGTTTAAATATTTCAAGGGAAGTATTTCAGATTCCCTTCTCTGACAGGTTCCTGTCAGACACAAGTTCTGCCTTTGGAACCTGTGTAATTACAGGTTTACTGCAATTCCACCTCATGCTTTCTAGAATAAAGAGCAAGGCTCATGGAACAGATACTGGCCCCTTAAGAAGGCTCACTCACTAGCTAAATGACTGGCTACTACACATCACCTTCCTAGCACATAACTCAAGTATGTGCCTCAACAAAGTTAAAAAAACAAAAACAACCCACTACCATTCAGAATCATAGCAACCTATATAGGATTTCTGAGGCTTTGTAATTTTTATGAGCAGCCAGCCTCATCTTTCTCCCTTAGAGCTGCTTGTGGGTTTGGACTGCTGACACTAAGGTTCGCAGGTTAGCAGTCTGCCACCTACCCGACAGCCCTACAAGGACAAAGTTATGCTATGGTAAGCAAAAATGTATTACTACTAGGATTCCAGTTTATATGTGCACAGGTTTATGCCTAACAAAACATGTTTAAACATGTATCTGCAGTCAGTGGATGGCTGCCAACAAGTTCTCTCAAAATACATTTGTCTCAAAATATACTTGATTCAATCAAAACAGTGGCTTCGAAGACAATCTGCCAGACCAGTTAAATTCAAGGCAGAGAGCTTAGCTCTGAAGGTCACAGTGGCTCTTTCCTGAGATCCCAAATGAGTAATCTTCATAGGCTTTCTTCAAGGACTGAAGACAATTACAGGTGTTTATTAGAAAGTTATAAGAAAGTTGAAAAGTGCTGGATGAAAGTCCAGGAAAGTCGCACCGAGGCATTTCCCATCACACAATGCATCTGCTCATTCTTGAGGGCAGCCAGGGCTGTCCGCCCTTACTCATCATCCGACGGTCTAATCTTGCCCCTTCAGACACAATTTCTGTTCCCACATTGAACATTGAAAAGAACATTGAAAAGGAATATGATTTTGAGAGCCTCAAGGATGCCAAAACTGCTGTTTTGATGTAGTGCAAATTCAAGAGCACAGAATCCTTGATGGATGGATGGATGGAAACACCACTTTCAGAAATATTTAACCTAAAAGGAAGCTATATCAAGAAACATAGCTTCCCATTTTAATAATTTCACTTAACAAAGATTTCGGTGACACTGCAGCAATCCTTTTTTACTTACCCTCATATATTATCATACACATAATAAGACCATAGAGAATCCCTTCAGGGTCCTGAGTAATCTACATATTCTTCCCATGAATGATACCATAAACTGTGGATAAACTGATAAACCCGCAAGAACACTGGTTGTCCCCACACTACAGTCCCTGTGTCATCCAACGAAGAGAAAGAGCAAATTATTTTAACCTCAGAACAAAGTCCTACATCCTCCAACCTCTCTGCTCACCTCAACACCACTTTCCCCCTTACCCTGTGACTCTGCCAGACTACATCTTTCCCAGTCCCTCTACACTCTTTCTCACCATGTGCTTCCCCACTTCAGGGCCTTCATGTACACTGCTCCCTCCCCTACTATGTTACTCTTCTCAATCCTTCACATAAACCCTTACACCTGGTTAATGCCTACGGTCTTCAGGCCTGAGCTTCACTGTGATTTCCTCAGTTTTCTATCACCTTCTGAGCCAGATTAACCCCTTTGTGATATGCCCACACCGCAGTCTTTGCAGAAGGCACGCATCTGCAAGGATTCACCCAGCGTCTGCACTCACCCCATTCAAACTCTTTAAGTGAGCTGGGTTCATGGCCTTCTTGTTCCTCAGAGAATTACCTGTGCCTAAAATGGCACCTGGCAAGCAAGAGGGGGCGCAATAAGTATGTGTTGATCAATAACAGAACTTGTGTGTAACAAGTGAACAAAAGGAGCAGAAAGGCCAAGGAAGGGTTTTGCCCATAAATTACATTCCTCTCTCCAGTGAAGCTTAACCTCTCCCTCTGCTTGACTCTTTCCTCTCAACATAAAATATGCTCACGTAGTAAAAACAAAACAAAAATTAACTCTCTTGATTTGGTTCTCTTTTATCTATTATCTTCCCTATCTATAATACTCTCTCATTATCTCTACTGCCTCACCTCTCACTCATGACAATCTGGCTTCCATCCTTTCCAATTCATGTAACTCTTGATAAAGTCATCCATTCCAGTGAATACTTCTCAGTCATCTTAACATTTCACAACTTATTAGTATTTGCCAATTCCAATCTCTTCCATCTCCATCTTGAAATCCTGTTTGCCCTCTCTGCTCAGTCCTCTCCCTGTCCCATCTTCTGCTACACACTGACGGCTTCTGAATCTGGATCACTAACCCATCACTATCTTCTCAGCTCCGGAATACTCAAACCACAATCCTTGTGTTCATTTTCAAGTTTCTCTATATACCCGATGTAAATATACCAAGCATAATTAACACTTTTCTTCCTTCAACAGACCGCATGCTGCCAATCTCATTCATTACATCAAATGAGCCAGTAACTGAATTGTATTTCCTTTTTACCATTCTACTGTGTCCTTTTTTCTACCTCCACTACTTTAATTCAGGTACACACCTTGACTCCCCCTACACCTAACCCTTGCCCTAATCCAATCCAAACTCACCAATTTGCCAAAGTGACTGGTTCTGAGAGCAAATAAATTAGCCATTTTCTAAAAATCAATCAATGGTCCCCATTGCTTTCAAAATAGTCCAAACTCTTCAGGATGGCATACAAGAGTTTGTGACCTACACTACATATATGGATCTTGAAAATGTTACACTGACTGAAATAAGTCAGTCACAAAAAGACAAATTTGTATGATATGCATTATCTACAACAGGCAAAAGTAGTAGTTAGAAAGGGTGGTAGGGAAGGGAAAGGAGTCATTGTTAGTGGACAATGAGTGTGATGCTGGATGAACTACATGCTGAAGATCATCAATGTCACTGAACTGTACATGTAAACGCTACCGAACTGGTAAATGTTTTGTCACATGTAAAGTTTTCTTACCAAAGTTTTTTTAAGGTTTATGATCTAATAATCCCTGCCTACTTCTCTAGCTTTAATTCCAACCACAGCCCCACACTACATGACATGCATCAGAACACTAAAATTCTTGCATTTTCTCAATAATCTGTGGTTCTCACTCAATGTGCCATTTTTCTATACTGCACTCCTTCCTACCTTTCCAACGTTGACTCATCTTTTAAGACTCAGCCAGTGGGTCTTTCAGAAGTAGTCACTGACCCAATAAAGCTAAGTCAGATCCACTTTCCTTTTATGCTCCTTCATGATAATGGTAGTATATACCATTCCCATATAACTTAGGATATTACATGTAATTGTTGGGTTTAATCTATCTGTTACCCCAATTAAATTTTATCATTAATTCTTGCATCCATAACATCCAGCATAATGACAAACACATTACTGCACTAGACAAATGTTAACTAAATAGCTAAGTAAATTTAGGACAAATAAAGGTGCTGGCTTACTGTCTTGTGTAATGGCTTGCTGCGAATGGCAAGACCATCCATGTAGTCCTCCAGTTTGAACTTGTAAGTAACTTGCAGCTTCTGAAGTAAACCATCAAAAAAGTCAGTACCCTATGTAAAGAGAAAAAATATGAAATGGTTGAATCAATCTGTTCTGACCCAATCTACCCACCAGACACCGAGGCAAATAAAATGTTCAAAATAATAATTAAAAAGAATTTTTTTTAAAAAGAAACTGTTCACACTTTTACTAATGTTCAGTCATCCTAAGTAAAAGGAAGCACATACAATATTAAGTGCCGCAACTGAGCCCAAATCAAATTCGTAACATAACTTTCCTATGGTTTTAAAGATGTGTACATACACACACACATATCCTAGGCCAGAACATTCAGAAATCTTTGAAGCTCAGAACTAATTCCCATTGTCAGTTATAGTCTTTTTTGTTGTTGTTGTCATAGTCTTAAGGACTAGGGATGGGGAGGGGGAGGCTTAAACTCAAGGAGAAAAAAAAGTTTTTATTTTGTAATACAGTATTTCACGTGGTAAAACCTACCACAACGACAAGGTGTTGAAGCCTTTATCCTGAAGACTAAAAAAAAAAATGGTGTATATATAACCGATCAATTATATGGGTCAAGGATTCCCGAGAGTGGGAGGGGAAAAAAGAGGAGCTCATACCAAGGGCTCAAGTAGAAAATGTTTTGGAAATGGTAATGGCAACATATGTACAAATATGCTTGATACAATTGATGTTATGAGCTGTAAGAGCCGCCAATAAAATTATTTTTTTTAAAAAGTGGCTTACCTCATCCAAGAGCTCCAAAAGTCTGTTCCGAATCTGTTCAGGGTTGTCCACATTTGGATCCTTGAGAAGCTGCCTGAACTTCTCAATCACTTGATAGAAAGCATTCTTCCACAGGATCTGATCCACATTCTGATTATCAGAGAACTCAATATCTAACAGAATGCAACGCTCATATAACTGCAGCAGTTCAGCTCTGAAATGAAATACAAGCAACATCTAGCTCCAAGTACACCAGAGAAGGCTGGACCAACGATCCAGGCTTCCTGCAAATTAACCACCTCCCTTGGCAAGAAATTCAAAATGCCATGAGATACAGTACTTTAGTTTTTATGCAGCAGTAAAACATCACTCTAAAGTGAGTTATGTCCAGGAAAAGTTGTTTTCCCCCTTATACCTCCACGTAAATCTCACAGCTGAAGTTAAGATTTTTACCACATTATAGTTTGTTCATTTCTTGGCATTCTTAAAGGTCTTTTTCCTTTTCCATTTCCAGAATCCATGCTCCCTTAAAAAAACCTTTTTTTTTTCCCTTAAAGCAAAAGTAGGAAGCACAGTTATTTCCAAGACTAAAAACAAAACCTCTGCTCTGTTATTTTTCCAACAGCCCTCCCTCAAGAAAATGACTCTGAAAAGGAGAAAGACCCAGTAGCTCATTTAAAGACTTCTACCCTCTTCAGCCATAGGGTTTATCCATCACCTTATTCTCACCACCCTTAACCCCCACTGGAACACGCCATACCTGAGCTGAGACATCTTCTCCAGACCCTCAGGACTAATGCGGTCCCTGGAGAGCAAGTTGCTGAGCTGCAGTTCCTGGTTGTCAGCCACCCGGAGAAGCCTATGCAACTCCTGTTGCTGCATGTTCCTCATGTGCTGCTCCATCTCCTCGGGACTTAAGGTGCTCGCAGGGAGAGCGCTACAAACATACTGTCCTGATGGAGTTGGGTAGCCTGGGTAGTAAGGTCCTGGATAAACACCATTCGTTGGGCCCACTGGGTACTGCAGAGGGCTATAGCCTGTGTAGGGGTATTGGGAGGCTGGACCAGGTGTCCGAGGATAATAATAGGGATTGTCAGAGTTCTGAAACTTATAGTAAGATGCTTGGGCCTGGCGAGAGTCACCCCAAGATGTAGGGCTAACTTCATCATCAGTGTCCAAGAAGTGCAGCTGAGGCGTCTGGCTCTTTAGAGCAGGTTTCTGGTCAGGATTATTCGGGTCCCACAATCGGCGGGTGGTGCCTCCTCGGCCCCAACTCCGAGATCCCTTACTACCAGACCCAAATAAAAGCCGAGGCTGCAGAGGTGTGGCCTCTGGAGAGCTTGCTGAAGTGACAGACAGGGTGGTATGGGCTGGCAGGATCAGGATGCCACGGCCACGACCCCGAAGTTCTCGTTTTAGGGTTTTGGACTCCTGCTTCTCAGAGGTTTTGCCCCCGCTGCTCAAGCTCCTGTCATGCTTTGGCCTGTCCATGTCCTCCCTGGCTGACCTCCCCAGGGGGGACTCTTTGGTCATGGTTTCTGCATCAAAGGTGACACGCAGGGTGCCGCGATTCTCTTTACCATTGCTTTTCGGCTCACCCTCCCCACGGCCGGACCAACTTCTTTCTACATGTCTCCTCCTTTCTGAGCTCCTCGGGGGCCCTAATCCATCAGGCTCATCAATTTTGTCCTCATCCAAGGAGTCGGTTGAGGACATTGATACCTGCTTCTTCAGTCGTGGCCTCTCTTTGGTTCGATCCTGTCGCCGCCGCCGACAGCCATTGTCAGTTAGGCCAGCTCCCTCAGCACTGTTGTTGCTACCAGCTGAGCTGGTGCTACAAGTGCGACAGCGATTCCTTCGCTTGTCTGAGCGGGAGTAGCGCTTTGCAGAACCTGGCTTCCCCTGTGCCAGCTCTTCATTCACTTTCTTCAGGCCCTCCCCCTTTTCAATTCGTTTTCCTTTTTCTCCCTTTGAAACCCTTATTCTGTCACTATTTGGGCTCTTTTCTGTCTCATCTTTGCGGGGTTTATTCATTACCTCCTCTTTTTCAGTATTTCTCCTACACTCAGCTTCCTCTACTTGCAGTTTTTCTACCTGGTTGAGGATTTCTTCCTCATCTACCCGGCTAGCCGATTCTTTAGCAGCAGTCTGCAAACGCCGTCCAGGCTGGTAGATCTGCATGTCAGGTTTCTTTGTTCTTTTGATAATTCGTAGACTTTGCTCCTCATGTCCAGCAGTTTTAGGGAAGGATTCCTGTGCCTGAATATTTTCTGGGTCTACAGGGCCATTCTGCTGCTGGCTGTCCTGTTCCTTGCAGACATCTTTAAGGTGCTGTGTACCATTCCTGACAGAAGAATCTCTGTCATTGATAATTTCATCCTTAAATTCCTCAAGCATTGAGGGTTCCTTGACTTTAACTTTGTTCCTTAGTCGAGAAAGACCAGGCTTATAGATTTCCAGATCTGGGCGCCTGTTATCTTTACGCTGCCTGGGTTCTTTTAATTCCCTCATGTTTTCTGTGATATTGGGGAGGGTGGGGGGGGGAAATAAAGGAAAATAATAAAGGAAGAGGAAGGGGACAAAAAAAATCATCACTGTGGTTATGTAACAGAAAAGTCAAGCTAGAATTACATATCCAAATGCTTATATTGGTGGGCAAAAAGGGGAAATGTCTTCAGAGGCAAAAATTCTGGGTTTACACTATTTATTCAACAATAGACAAGACTACGAACTTGATCTGTGTTGGATTACACACTTGGGCTAGGGAAAATGAAAAGCAACAAGCAACATATCATATTCTCTTGAGTTATCTAGGGCATGTTTGGACAGAACATTACCCCAAACTACCCCATTATTGTCAAAATAAAGACCTCCAACAGCTTCAGCATTAGACTGCTTTCTCATCTATAGAGGCCTAGGGTCAACACATCCCTTTTCTGCCTCTTAACATTTTCCCAGAGGAGGTTAAGTCCACTTCGCATAGTAGTATAAACAAAGTGAAAACGAGGGGTACGCAAGACAACCTATGGTCCCGGGAACCTGTAGAAAAATAAAATGTCTAACTTCCAGTCTCTGAACTTAGTCTGAATAATTCTTGTCTTTAGAATCCCAATTACTCAATCACATACCTCTTGTTGAAGCAAACAGGAAGCAGTTCCCTTCACTTTCTTCAACTTCACTCATGCTCACCAACTCTCTAACAGCAGCCAGCAGAGTCATTCCCAAGAAATACTACTCATCATTAGAATACTGAGACTAACTGCTACTATGATGGAATATGAAAAAGAAAAGGTTCCATAAGGGAGCTTTCCCTAGAAGCAGATGGTTGGGTTGTGACGCTTTCAAATCAACAAAGTCTGGGACAGTCCAGAGTAAGAGTACAAGGCTTTAGAGGCCACTCTCTTGGTTCCAACAGACACGCTGACTAACCAATGAACAAATACTTTTTGTGTGTGCCAAGTATCTGTTACCTTTCTCTATTACGAAGGAAGGCTACTACAAAGAGTCACTCAACATTTCAGTGGGAAAGTGAAAAGAATCAGTAAGGCTATTTTTAGAAAATGTATTGCTATATAAAATCCTAATATGGTTCTAGAAATGTGTCTATAACCGCGTAACAGAAAACAAACCAAATCCTCAAGTTTGAAACACTGGGTCAGTATTTTTGCATCTTTAGGAATGTATAAGACTGCTTCAGATATGTAAGCACAAAGGTGATCCAACTGAACCCATTAGTTAAAACCCCAGACCACCACATTCTCAGCAGCCTTTGTAACTTAGGTAAGCAGGGAGACGGGACACCTGAATAACCCATTCAGCTGGCCAGCAAAACCAATTTCACAGGCTTGGGCCCCAAGCCTGGAGAGGGCACCTATCACAGCTCCCATTCTACTGCCTAACAGAGAGCAGGTAAGGCACTAGGATCTTCCTGCGAGCTTTCCTGGTGGGGCTGGAAACTCTTAAGTTAACTTGCGACTTGAACGCTCTCGGACAAAACTGCTCCAAGAGCAGAGGCGGCGCTCCCAGAGGTCCCGGGCCCTCCGGAGGCGCAACCACAGAGGCCAGCCTGGGAGGGGAAAGTTCAGCAGGCAAGTTTCGGGCTGTTAAGCCTCTGTCCCCAACATCCCCCAATTTCTTCTCTTCGAAGCTAAGGAGGCCGTGACGACGGGGCTGCCGGCCCGGGGAGGACTCCTCTAAGAGCGGTACCCCCCGAGGTCTCCCCTCAAACCCCAGCACCCACTCCGGGTCGCATCCCTCGCCCGCGGGGAGTTGACAGGCGGGTCCGAGAGGGCGGGGACAAGGGGGGGACAGTCGGCTTCGCCGGAGAAAAGGGTGATGACAGGACTTGGGACTGGGCTCTCCCCTCCACGGGGGCCGGCATTGGCGGAATCCGACCCCACACCCTAGCCCTCCGGCAGGTGGGGCGGCTCGGGGCACTCACTCCCGCGGCCCCCGCCCCCACTGCTGGGACCAGGGGCGGGGGCTCCGGCGCGCCGCGGACGGAGCGGGGAGGAGGCAGAGGAGGAGAGGGAGGCGGGGCGGGCAGGCCCGGCCCAGGAGCTGGGCGGCGCGACTCACCTCTGCTCCCGGCCTGCGGAGCCAGAGTGGCCAGGATCCCCCGCAGCTCCGACGCGGAGATCCGGACGCGCTCCAACCCCTCCGCCATCTTCGCGGCTGCTGCTCCAGCCGCAGCTACTTCTGCCCCCGCCGCGCGCAGCCAGGAAACCACGACGGACGGGCGGCGCGCGCGCTCACCCACCGCCCACCCTACGCCCCGCCCCCTCCCGCCCCAAACGACGGTGGCCGCGATGGGAGGAAAAACTTTGAACGCACAACCGGCCCCTCCAGTGGGTGGCGCTGGAGCGCGAGCCTGGGCGGGAGAAGCGGACGCCGCGCGTGCGCAGAGGTGTAGCCCGGGGAAGGTGAGCTGAGGCTGGAGTTCGAGGCGCGGCGCCGGTCAGGTGAGGTTGGGCGAGGGCCGGCCGAGTCCCGCCGGGCAGGGCGAGGTCGGGACGGGGCGGGTCTTTCGCGTTGGTGGCTGCCGTTGCCTGATGGTGCGGTGGTGGCTGGCCATCGAGGGCACGAACGCTGGTCCCGGGTACGGACTGGCGAAGACGACCCACAATCTGGTCTCCCTCCGCCTTTCATTCGAGGCCAAGATCTCGTGGCACAGACCAGGACTTGGGAGATCTTAAAGGTTAGATCATATCCCCTTTGGAAGAATGCCCACGGAATAGCCAGATCTTTTCCTTTAGGGCAAAGGACCGCGCCTAGCCACCTGATCTTCAAAATACAGGCCAGTTGGGTCTTGAGGAGGGGAGGGCTTGTGCCAAGATATCTTGGGGAGAGCTAGCTTACAAGCCTACCTGGGAATTTCTGTGTTACTGTGGATCCTTGAAAAAATTCCTTTCTGCATCTCAGGCCTTTACATCCCTCCCCACCCCCATGCCTCCCATCTTTACCTTTTAGCTGAGCCAGAAGAGTGGCTCTTAATGCTTTTTGTTCATGAACCTCTGTTCCGAAGTGTGGTGAAACTCCTCTCCAAAGGCTGCCTCCTTCCACCTGTTGTTCTGCCCAGCCCCACACAGCTATTTGGACCTCCAAACCATCAGAAAAAACACACTCCCTGCCATCGAGTTGATGCTGACCCTATATGATAGGGTCGAACAGCCCCCGTGAGTATCTGAAACTAATTCATTACTGGAGTAGAAAGCCCCCGATCCAAAGAATAGTTATCAGTTATACTATAGTATGGGTTCAAAAGCTTTGCATATCTCAGTTCCTATTTATGAGACGGGAGCCCTGGTTGCCTAGTGGTTAGATCTTGAGCTGCGATCCCCATGGTCAGCAGTTCGATGCCACCAGCAGCTCCGTGGGGGTAAGACTGGGCTTTTTACTTCCACAAAGAGTTACAGTCTCAGAAACCCACAAGGGGTCATTATGAGTCAGCATTGACACTCGGTGGCAGTGCATTTTTGTTATTTGTGAGACAGTGCCAGAATGTTAAGCAAAGGCAATAGATCTGGGACAAAATGGAACGGTTCAAAAAATGGAAACTAATGTTAAGTAGTCAGAGCAAATGGCAGCCTTTAAAATGCATGCAAGAAGTGGGAAGACGTTTTAAAAAACGAATTTATTTTCCCATCAATCTTTGTAAAATATGGGAATGATGAAAAAGAATCAGATACAAAAGTCTCTTAGGAAAAATCTTGATTGCCAAATCTATGAGTGTCAGATTCAAAAAACTCACTGCCATCAAGTCAATTCCAACTCATAGTTGCACCCTATAGGGCAGGGTAGAATTTCCCCAGGGAGAGTAGAAAGCCTCGTCTTTCTCCTTTAGAAGGGGCTGGTGGTTTTGAACTGCTGACCTGTGGTTAGCAACCCAACCCAATGTACCATGACATTACCAGGCCTTCTGCAGATCAGATCTGCCAAAAGCTAACCGCACTCAAGGGAACTGACCAGCCCACAGGGGGTAAAAGAAAATAGTTAAAAACTCAGAGAGCAGGACAGGAGACATGGAGGAAGAATGAATCCAAAAAATTAATAATACTAAGTTGATAGAAAAATGAGAATTTCTGAAAGGATTCTTGCACTAATACTAAACCAAACTCGTGCCATCAAGTCAATACTGACTCATAGGTAAGAATAAAAAGAACCGTATTTAGACCTGTCTCACAAAGAAAGCTTCTGAGTTTAAAGACTTAAATGATCTTTATGTATTGACATGAAGCAGTCTACAAGATAGATTGTTTAAATAAAAAAGATAAGCTTGTTAAATAAACTTAATAAACAAAAATCCCAAGTTTCATAATGTACAGTATTGTTCTACATGTATGCAGAAAACTATTTGTGTTATATGTAAACGTCTATATAAATACATAGAAAAAAGGTATGGGATAATGCATATCAAACGTTTAAAATTTTTTACCTTTTGGAACTTGTGAAGGAGATTAGATTTGATGGTAAAAAGTCAATATTCTACAGTGTTTTAATTCTTAAAGTAGGAATCTGGTCACATTGGCTAATCCCAGAAACAATAAAACAAATTTAAATGAAGAGGGAAGAATTCTATTGCTGAAGTTAAAAAAAAAAGAAAACTGAAAATGAAGAACCACAAATTTAAGGAAAAATGTAACCACTTAAAAATTGTTTTGAAACAATTATTTTAAATAACTCATGGGTCAAAGTTTTAAAAACCATGAAAATATTACATAATCGATTCTGTGGTAAATCATAAAAACATTACTCAGGAAAACGTGTAGCTTTAAGTGAGTTTATTATTAAATAAAAAGTTAATAAAGCATTCATCAATGCTAAAAAGGGAAATAAAAGAAAATAACAGAAAGAAAGAAAGATCAAATCAAAAGTTACTAAGGAAAAAAGAACAACACTTGGTAGTAAATTGACGTGCACATGCTTCAGCGATGAAATAGCCGTTAACACGGGCATCCTCTTCGATAGCTCCTGAGCCCATTAAAACACATTTGACTGCTTTCCTCTAAAGTGCTTTGTTTGTTCACCAGTCTTATATCTCCATAACTTATACCACCATCTAAGCCAAAAACCAGGAGTCCAAAAAACATTCAGTCCGATATCAGGATGTGTCTCTCTTCTATCTCTGTAGTAGAAATTTATGAGCATCCTCTCTCCAACATCTTTTCCTTTTAAAATTTCCCCCATTCTCATACTCTCTATTATGTCCTTTTTTTCTTCTATTTCTTTTCTTCCTCGTTTTTTCTCCCTTAGATGCATATTTAACTAGTTATACTGTTTGGTCCACAGTGTTGTCACCGAGGCATTTCTCATGTTATTTTTTTTCCATGCAGGTCCCTACCCTCCTCTCCTTAGGTAGCCATTCTTAATGTGTTGATATGTGTTCTTGAACATATACGTATCTTGAATAAAATATAGTTTTATGTGTGTCTGTTTCTAGTGTACATAATTGATATTGTTATCATTCTGTTTCTTTTTCATGTTTCTGTAAATATTTCTGACTGTTGCATAGTATTTATCTTAAATGACCTCACTCACTTGGCCACTGGTTCAGAGGCAAGATGAGCCAATCAGAGTCCTTACCCAGAATTTTTAGAACTGAAACTGAGAAAGAGAATCCGTCTTCAGTGTGGAAGCCAAAAAAATGTGAAGCATAGGAGCTGCCGGCAGCCATGTAACCTGCCATGTGGAACCAGCTGGCCTGCAGTGAAAAAGAATGACGCCGACATACAGAGAGAAGCTGAGGTGAGACTCCATGAGCGAATCAGGAGGCCTTCTAGTCCCTGGTTCGATCGTTCCTGAAGCTCCATATTCCTACCTTCCCATGGTTTGTCCAACCCTCCCATGGGTTCCACGAGGCAATCCCATCTGGTGCCTAAGCAAGTTCACACTGAGGTGCTATCACTTACAACTAAGAGGTCTAACTAACCCAACCTCCAAAATGTTATCCTGAATGATTCTCTTTTGTCTCCATTTCTACCTTCCATGCTCCCTGTGTCTTTTCTGTGTACAACCACAATACCTCTTTACAGGATTCTGAATCCACTCCTGCTCTGTCTTTTTATTCACCACAACGTAGCCAGGGTGATTTCCCGAATATGTGAATTTTAACATGTCACTCACTGCCTTACAAAAATTTTTTTAATGATATTGTAATACTCTTAAGAAAAAGTCAAAAAAAATAGTCCTAAATCCTTATAACAGTCTCCATGATCCTGGTCCAGCACGATCTGGATCTTGCCAAGTTCACCCTCCTTGTTATACTTCCCCTTGATCACATGTTCAGACATATTGGCCTCCTGTTAGTTCTTAGAATATGCCAAGCTCTTTTTTCCCTTAAAACCTTCAGACCTGAAACACTTTTCCCTTCATCCCATGGGTGAATTTCAGTTCTCTGTGTAGAGGCCCATCCTCAAATCCCTTCTATGATCTCAGTAAGACCCTCAATACTCTTTCCTAGTAGCCCTTATGAAAGGATACATGCTAAATCCTTATTTCCTTACACAACTCTTTTTGAGATTGTAAGCTTCATGAGGGTAGGGATAAGCCTATTCTTCTAACACTATATCCCCAGACCAAACAGTGTAGAAGGTGGTCAGTATTTGATTGAAGAAATGAATCAATAAATAAATCACAGACATAAAAGATACTTAGAAATTTTTATTAATATGTAAAACTTTATACTAATAAATTTGACATTCTAAATTAGGTGATTTTGCCAAAAATATATAAATTACTGGAGTTAATTCAAGAGCAAGTGGCAAAAAAAAAAAAAAAAGAGCAAGTGGCAAACCCACATGAACCCAGTAACTTTGAAGTCACTGGAAAAGGTACCAGATGTATATAAGATAAAGATAAAAGTTTCTTTATTTAGATAGTGTGATTGTTTTATTTATAAGAAGCGGAGAGTCAACTAATAAATTAGAACTAACAAGATAGGAGTGGCCCACAATATGATAAATATTAAAAATTATTAGCTTTATTATGCATCATCAGTAAATAGAAAATCTATACATTTGTAAAATATGTCTTTTAAATAGTAACAAAAGTATACTATACTTAGGTATGCATTTAATCAGATATGTACAAATACAAATTAAAAAAGACAAACTTTAAAATATAACTGAAAAACCAAATCCAAAAGACTTTAATAAACTAAAAGAGAGCCTTGTTCATAGATGGGAATACTCAATATTTTTAAGTATCAATTGTGCCCCCAATTCACTTCTATATTTTACACTGGAATTTTTAGCAACCTTTTGGAAGGGATTCTAAAGTTCATTTGGAATGACTGATGTATGAAAAAAAATCAAATTAGAAAAATAATCTGAGAAGTTATTCATACAATGTATAACTAGAAAGGGCATCAGCAATTTGATCAACAAAACAAAATACAAAGGCCAGCGTTAACAGAAATTCACTATTTTTATTAATTTGGCATGTAATAGGGAAAAATGGTGTTAAAACTTGACAAGAAACAAGTGGCTAATAAACATACAGTCAAAGAAGTTCAACCACCAGTAAAAGTACTACACAGACTTCAGAAGTTTATGGAAAAATGGAATGGAAAGATAACGGAATTTTTCCAATAACTTTTTTGAAGGCCCCCCCCCATCGTTCATGAAACTGACAGAAATGATAGAGCCAGGCTGAAGGAAAATGAGCATTCCTTATACGCTGTTGCTGCTGTGGGCCATCCTGCTGATCTGTGACCAGCTACCCAACCAACCCTCTAGTGCAGAGAACTCTTCCAAAGGGTTTTCTTGGCTGTAATCTTCAGGAGAGCAGATTGCCGTTTGTTTTCTCCTGTCGAGACATTGGTACTTTTTGGTTAGCAGCCAAGCACTGAACCATTGCACCCCCTGGGCTTCTTA